GTTATAAAGTTGACAGAAGAGAAAAACATTGGTGTAATAATTCTTCAAAGGATGACCATGAGTCACTAGTGTGATTTTGGTAGAGAAATTTAAATACAATCCTAAAATTTAAATCACACAGAATTTTCCAGAAAACACGGAGAAGTAACAATGCTTTTGGCATATGGCACTCATAAGACACTATTGTTAAGAACAAAAGTTTCAATGGGAAGAAATGCATTGAAAAGATACTAAAGTGACCAGGAAGTAGAGGGTCTGTTTCACTCAAAACCAGTGGCTAGCCACTGAAAAAACAAACCCCATCAAGAGGGTATATTTACTAAATATAGATGTATTTATATATCTATAAATACATTTTATAAATGTACACACACACGTATACAAACATATGTAACATTGTTATCTACACACAAGGGCAGTATTCAAGCTAAAAGCTATCCACACACAAAATAAGTTGTAAATTAATCTGTGTAACTGCATTTCTTACGAGAGAAGCGATGAGCTGGGGAAGTTATTCTGTGTGAAGTAGAAAGGCAAAAAACCCCTCACTACCTTTGAAACACATCAAGTCCCATTTATGCTATGAAGATCTATTGTGTGGCTGGATGAAAGCAGGGACTAGGTCTTGATGACCTGAAGTCATCTCTTTCAGTCTATAGTCTTCCAGCCTATACTTCTGCAGTGAGACTGGTAGATGCCCACACAGGGAAAATGTGTGGGACAGTTTCCCTACATTTGTAAAGTTACAATTGCAGCCCTAAAATAGCTACTTGGAAAAAATAGCCTTTTCACTGATGGTTTAAAAGATCTCTCCTTCTACACAATCCCACTGGTTGAACTGTATTCTGTGAATACTCACTTATGCATCTGTAGCTCTCTACAGGCTACTTTTAGAAGAGTTATTTGTAATGAGTTACAAATTCTCCTTCTCCTTATGCTTCCTCCTTGTAGTATCTTATGCAGAAACTAGTTGGTAATCTTCCCTTCCTAACTTCTCAATGGAAGTGCATGCTGCTACTGAGTAGTCAATACCTTTGTTTATAAAGGCCTAGTTAATGGCTTAATTTTGAAATGCAATTGAAATTGAATTTGTATCTGGGATGGAAGCTGTTTCTTGCTGCAAAACAAAGCGCTACCATCAGGGTCTCCTTGGTGCTCTTTGGACACAAATGCACCCACACAGACAGGTGGGTGTATCTCTAGCTATTTTTGTTTTTAAAATACTGTTGCATTTGATTGGCTAGAAAAGTTCAAAGCAGCATATGCTTTTGTCTGTTTCCAATATCTTGTCTGCCCACAGCAGGCCTTGCTTTCCTTTTTTCCAGGTGTCCTAGTTCATCTGGATTTGAGTTAAACACAAGCAAGCATGCTGAACTACCCCTTGCTGTTATTGAAAGTGACAATATTGAGAATAATAAATAAATATTTTCCAATTTATTTCTGCAGTAATAAAATAATTCACATGCTTATACCTGAGGATGTGTGCTCCTGTGGTATCACATCCTAGCTGCTCTCTTTGTCTGTCCTGTCCTCTTTATTTGATTATTGTTCTATACTTAGCTTCAGCAAACTTCTTCGTGTGTGCTTAACTCTGCTCTCAGAGACATCCTATCTTATAATTCACACCAATTCCAGCTCATTTATTTTTACTTATACAATAGTTTGGGCCTACTGTATTGATCTTGACGCAGCAGCAGATGTCAAAAATGCCTTCTGGAGAACATCCCTAACATACCAGGTTGCACGATAGAAGAAAGATGTCAATTCCCTAGAATGAGGGAAAAAGCTAAACAAAAGCAACAGACATTTCACATGGCTTGTTCGAACACAAAGCCTGCTGCCATGGACTTGCTTTTCCCCCAGATATGGACACTGTCCAACTAAATTTTTTGCCCTAACACATTCTGAAGACCTTCTGTACTGCACAGGATTTCTGGTTTTATAGACAATCTGACTTGATAACCAGCTGTTACCTGGAAATCCAATTACCTGGAAGTATACACACTCTGGAGCTGTATAAGACACGCCCAGTAAATTAATAACTTCATTCTAGGGATTTGAATTTAGTGCTCATGTAAAGCCCAAGCAGAGCGTTCAAAGTAGGGGAACACTCACAGAAACATGGGAGCCTTCATACAAATCCACCATGCAGCCACAAACTCCCTTTTTGTTTTTAAAGAAAAACAATGGACTGTTTTGAAACCGCTGACTTCGAAGAATGGGACTATTCAAAGTAGCAAATTTCAGCATTCATGTATCTATGTGCAAGGTTGGAGGCTTACACTGTAAGGTCTTTCACGCAATGACTGTTATTTATCAGGAGACTGCAAAGTAGCGTACTGGGAACGTGAACCACCAACTAGGCCTCCTAGATGCTAACGCATTATGACTAAATATATTTTACATGATACATAACTCGTCACATCAGTGATGCCTATACCTTTGATTACTATTTTTGACACAGATCTCTCTTCTCAGGAGACTCCATAGCCTGCAGAATGGCTAACTAGCATCCAGAAGTTTTATGTGTACAGCAGTTAAAATTTCAGAGATCACTTATGTGAAATTAGTTGTTTTGAGCAATAGTGAATTCAAATGTGATTGAATTGGGAAGTTTTGCTGGAATCAGATACACCAGCTTCAAAGGATATTTTGATATATTCAAATACATATGTTCACTGCATCATACTGAAATGATCTTACCATCATAAAATCAAATTGAAGTTTTTTGAATAAACCAAACCAGTTCTTTTTCAATGACACTAACTTCCTGGTAATGCTTTTGTACAATAAACATCTACAGAATAATTTTAATTTACTTCCAATAACAGTTAAAAAGCTTTTTGTACAGTTCATGTTAACCAACTGTGGTTTGTTTTAAAGATATATTTGGGCAGCTGAAAACAAAGCCCCAAAATAGGTATCTGACATATTTGACAGGAAACTGATATGAGAACCAAAAAACCTGGGTATTATAGAATCATAGAATGGTTCAGGTTGGAAGAGACCTTAAAGATCATCAAGTTCCAACCCCCCTGCCATGGGCAGGGACACCTCCCACTAGACCGGGTTGCTCAAAGCCCCATCCAGCCTGGTCTTGAACACCTCCAGAGATGGGGCATCCACAACTTCTCTGGGCAACCTGTTCCATCTATAATATGGATTAATATAATATAATAAAATATAAACAAAGAACATCTTATTTATATTATCTAAGTGCAAAAAGGAATGGTAAAAACCCCCTAACACTCAATTACATATTCCAGGAAGAAGCATGGCGCCAACATGATTCCCATGAGGTCAATGGGAGAGGCCACTACAAGACCTCAGCTACAGAAAAGCACATATCTCCCAGCTGTTGTGCAACACCATAATCACTCTCAATTTTGGTGAAACTCAAAGCTCCCTGAGATTACCTTGTCAATTCTAGCTTAATATTTTTTTATGAGAATGGAACAAAAACCCTTTCTGAAACCAAAATCTTGGCACCAGAGAGACCAAAAGAAGCTACATATAACACGCAGAACACAGATCACTTGGAATTGCAGTTGAATTTCAGTTTGTCACCTCCCCTCCCTCTAATTTCTCAATTACAAATCTGACGATTCATCTCTGGAAGAAAATATGTTCATTACTTTGGTTTACTTTGGGAAAACAAAATAAATCTTCCTCCTACTTTCAAAACCTGTTGTTTTTTTGTTCTGGTGAGACATTTAGAAAACTTTCTCAGATAAATTTTTCAAACTTAGCAACTTCTAAATCTATGCTCATCTCTTACACATACAAAGTCAACCAATCAAAAATAGGTCAAAATGAAAGAAAAATTATGGGAGATTTGCATTTTTATTTCATAACCTTACCAACTCATAATCAGATTTGTTAAATCTCATTTGTTTACTGCCAAATATTTCTCACTGATGATTACTATTATTTTTTTCTGAAAAATTTCATTTTGCAGCATGTTTCAGAAGAACTTTAAAAAAAAACCCCTCTTCTAGGATATTTAGAATTGCTTATTTCCCTGATTAGAAAACCAGTTATGTACATAGACATAAAGCAGGACACCTAAACATCTTCAGGTACCACAGGGAAAATATACAGTCTTCCCGTTCCCAGATGGGCAATTTATTTTCCTGGAATGAGATGTTAGACTATTGTTTCCCCTCACCTTAACTATAGTTACTCTGAGAGCTAAGCTAAACTTATCTTTCCCTAGGAGAAATATTGTGATGTTATTTATTTACTTCAAGCGTTAGCATCTCATTTATTTGTAAGGCATTTCTGAGAGTAGACTTAAGTTTATTTTAAAGTCACAGATGCCTATGTATTTCTTCCCAAGGCTACTAACTCACTGTTTTGAAGACTTAAGTTTGTTTTAAAGTTACAAAATCACAGATGCGCATATATTTTTTCCCAAGGCTACTAACTCAGTGTTTTGAAGGATCTTGAGTAACCTGCTCTAGTGGGAGGTGTCCCTGCCCATGGCAGGGGGTTTGGGTTTGGAACTAGATGATCTTTAAGGGCCCTTCCAACCCAAACCATTCTATGATTCTATGATCTTTTTTTTTGCTCTCTTCCTCTGATCCTGACCCAGAGCCCCTTCCCAGAGGCTTGGGATACTGCAGGTAGAAGGAATCTCCCCCACACAGAGGCTCCTCGTCCAGACACACTATCACTTATGTCAGAAAATGACACTTTTTGGTAGCAAATCCTTACCTGGTCCCCGGCTACTAACCAACACCACTTCCCAAGGCTGCAGCACGGCGTTCCCAGCTCTCAGGAAACCAAACCAGCAACACTGCCTAGTGGCTACCTGGTGGCGGTAACAGGCGACCCCTGCCCTTCCCCGCCACGGCCCCCCCGCTCCTCACCAGCTCTTGCCAAGGACGAGGCCTTCGCTACAGCCGCCGCCTCAGAGGCCGGGGCGGGCCCCCGCTGCCCTTCCTTCCCGGGCATGAGGCAGGGGAAAGGGAGCGGCGGGTGAGCCGCCTAGCACCCACCTCCCGCCGGGTGACGAGCAGCTGGTAGAAGTCCTTGCTGGGGGCCGGGGCCTGCCGGCGCGTCTCGAACACCTCCTCCCCCAGCAGCGACGCCATTTTGGGACGCTGGAAGGCGGTGTCTATGGCAACCAGGAAGAGGCGGACATCACGCGGGGTCACTGGAAGCCCCGCCCCCTCTTAAAGGAGCAGGGCCGGTAGCAGCGCGGTGGCCGGTCGGGGTCTTCGCCCCCGCCGCCGGCAGAGTCCCGCTCCCCCGCCGAGCTCTGCCTCCCTCCCGCGCCCCCCGCCCGCACCCGCGGGGAGACGCTCAACGCGGACCCAGGGGTGACGACCCCGGCGGAGGGATACCGAACGCCGAACACCGACCCCTCCGAGCGCAGGGAGCCGGGCGGCGCAGACGGCCGCGAAGGGGTGAAGGTTACAACAAAGCTATTGAGAGACGAGGTGAGGTTAGTAGCACCTGCTGGTTCCTGGGAGTGAACTCAGAAAGAGTTAAGAGGTCGGTGATGTGTGATGGAGGGGGCTGTGGAGCCAGTACACCTATGGGGCAACATGAGGGGCTTAGTTGAGTGACTGCAGAAGGTCCTGTGGTTGGTAAAGTTGAGCCAAGGGGGGGTGACATGGCGGGGGTGGGTGGGGGGGGGGGGGGGGGGGGGGGGGTGGGGAGGCAGGAACGCCACGGCGCCGCGCTGGTGAGTGTATATGGGTGGGGGGGGGCCGGAGGTGTATAATGGGGCGAGGGGAGGGGGGCCCTCGGTGAGGAGGGAAGGGGTGGAAACGGAGCCGACAAAATGGCCAGGCAGTCACCGGAGCCCGCTCTAGGGACATCCCCTCTCCCCCCCGGCGCCGGGCAGGGCTGCCGCCCGCCGCCTCGCCTCGCCCGGGCCTCCCCGCTCCGGGCCCTGGGTCGCTGCCGATACAAAAGGGCAGTGTCAGTGTTGACACTGCCGTGCCGATTTGTATGCCCTTCCCCGCCGTCTCCCTCCCCCACTCCGCTTGGCCCCCTTTTCCCTAATGGCTCCCTCTTTTTTCCTTTTTTTTTTTTTAATTTTTTTCTGTTAAACATGTTCTCATTGCTACACCTTTCTACAATTTACAAAAATAGATAAATTTAATAAATTTTTTTTTTTTTTTCCCTCCCACCCCTGAAGGAGCTATCGAATATCTTAAAGGAAAAAATAGCAACTCCTCTTTCCCTCCCCTTGCCCGGCTCGATAAAAAAATGCTAAATAATCGGCCGACGTCCATATTTCACAAGCTTTTTTGGGGGGGGGAAGGAAGGAGGTGGGAAGAGAATGGAGGCGGCTGTAGGGCCGGAGTTACAGTGCTTGGCTGCCCACGGGAGGGGTTTATTTTCCCCGTGGATGTTTTAGGGCCGATGTTTTTGTTGCTTTCACAGTCAAGAAGCAAGTTGCCCGGTCCTCGCGTTCGCTTGCATAATGCGCCGTACTTGGAGGCTGATCAAACGCTGGGTTCTGCCTTTCCTGCCTGCCTCTTCCTCCTTCCCCTTCCCCGCCGGGGCTGGGGGGGGGGGGCGGGC